ATCTTTGTGAAAAGAAATCGTCCATCATTAAACAGGGGTGGAGGCCTACGTGTTCAACTGTCCCCCTCTTACAATGCTGTGATTGCTAGTATCACTCAGCCCTCTGTGAACAGTAAACAGCCATCAGTGTGCTAATGATCCATTGTTAGGCTGATGGTCCTTCTTGATCATGTGATCAGCTGGTTTTGGTTGTCAGCAGCAAAACTGGTTGATCCACTCTGAGACGGTGCTATTTAAGAGACTGAGCTGAAAACAGCACCTCAGACTGAGGAAGTCTCTCGGATGAGAGACGAAACGTTTCTACATTTTTTTGTTGATTTATTTTGTTTTGTTTTTTTGAATGTCCAGAGGACCAGATTTAACTTTTTTAGATTTTTCTACCTGGATTATTGAGCATGCATCAGGATAGAAGGAAGGATGGTTTGAATTTTCTCTCTAGTTGAAATAATTTTATTTATAAAGAATCTCATGAAGTCATCACTACTTATAGTTGTAGGGATACATGGTTCAACAGAAATGGGACTTTTAATTAGTCTAGCAATAGTACTAAACAGAAACCTAGGGTTATTTTTATTCTCTTCTATTAAAGATGAGTAATATAAAGTTCTAGCTTTACGGAGAGCTTTTTTATATGTTAGCAGACTATCTTTCCAAGTTAAATAAAATTCTTCAACATTAGTAGAGCGCCATTTTCTCTCCTGGTTTCTAGATGCCTGCTTTAAAGTACGTAACTCAGAATTGAACCAAGGAGCCAGTTTCCTCTGATTGATCAGTTTCTTTTTCAGTGGAGCAATTTTATCAAGTGAAGTTTGCATTGAAGTTGTAAGATGATCAACTAGATGATCTAAGATGCATTACTCTGCAAGACAGAGGAAAACATTGATGGAAGATATTGTTTAAATTTGGTTACAGCATTTTCTGATAAGCACCTGCTGAGATGAAATTTACTCTCAGTGACTGTGTAGTCATTTAATGTAAACTCAAAAGTTATTAAAAAAATGGTTGGACAGAATAGGATTTTGAGGAACTATTACCAAGTCCTTAATCTCTACACCATAGGTCAGAACTAAATCAAGAGTGTGATGATAAGAATGAGTAGATGTGCGGACGTTTTGGGTAAATCCAAATGAGTCTATTAAATTATCAAAGGCTATGCTTAAACTATCACTTTCATCATCCACATGAGTATTGAAATCACCCATTATGATGATTTTATCAGTATTTAATAGTAAGTCAGTTAATAATTCTGAGAATTCAGACAAAAACTGAGAGTAAGCGCCTGGTGGACGATATATAACAACTAGTAAAAGTGGCTTTTCTGATTTCCATTTTGGATGAGAAAGACTGAGGGACAGCGATTCAAAATAATCATAACTAATAACTGGTTTGGCATTAATCAATAATCCTGACTGAAAAATAGAAGCTACTCCTCCACCTTGGCCAGTTGTTCTAGGAACATGAAAATTTAAATAACAGGAGTGGATTCATTTATACTAACAAAATCCTCCTGTTGTAGCCAAGTTTCTGTCAGACAGAATAAATCAATATGATGATCAGTCATCAGTTCATTAACTAACAGGGATTTAGAGGAAAGAGATCTGATGTTCAATAATCCACATTTAATGATTTTATGATTTTCCTCTGGTAAAGTAACTGTGTTTATTTTAATCAGATTTTTATGGTTTATACAAACCGGATTCCAAAAAAGTTGGGACACTAAACAAATTGTGAATAAAAACTGAATGCAATAATGTGGAGGTGCCAACAGCTAATATTTTATTCACAATAGAACACAAATCACAGATCAAAAGTTTAAACTGAGAGAATGTATCATTTTAAGGGAAAAATCTGTTTCCAAATTTTATAGCATCAACAAATCCCAAAAAAGTTCGGACAAGTCTATTTTTACCACTGTGTGGCATCCCCCCCCTTCTTCTTACAACATTCAACAGACGTCTGGGGACAGAGGAGACCAGTGTCTCAAGTTTAGAAATAGGAATGCTCTCCCATTCATGTCTAATACAGGCCTCTAACTGTTCAATCATCTTGGGCCTTCTTTGTCGCACCTTCTTCTTTATGATGCGCCAAATGTTTTCTATAGGTGAAAGATCTGGACTGCAGGCTGGCCATTTCAGTACCCGGATCCTTCGCTTACGTAGCCATGATGTTGTGATTGCTGCAGAATGTGGTCTGGCATTATCATGTTGAAAAATGCAGGGTCTTCCCTGAAAGAGATGACGTCTAGATGGGAGCATATGTTGTTCTAGAACCTGAACATAGTTCTCTGCATTAATGGTGCCTTTCCAGACATGCAAGCTGCCCATGCCACAAGCGCTCATGCAACCCCATACCATCAGTGATGCAAGCTTCTGAACGGAGCGTTGATAACAACTTGGGCTATCCTTGTCCTCTCTGGTCCGGATGACATGGCGTCCCAGTGTTCCATAAAGAACTTCAAATCGTGACTCATCTGACCACAGAACAGTCTTCCATTTTTCCACACTCCATTTTAAATGACTCCTGGCCCAGTGCAAACGTCTGAGCGTGTGGAGCTTGCTTAGAAATGGCTTCCTCTTTGCACTGTAGAGTTTCAGCTGGCAACGGTGGATGGCACGGTGGATTGTGTTCACTGACAATGCTTTCTGGAAGTATTTCTGAGCCCATTCTGTTATTTCCTTGACAGTGGCATTCCTGTTTGAGGTGCAGTGACGTTTAAGGGCCCGGAGATCACGAGCATCCAGTAGAGTTTTACGGCCTTGACCCTTATGCACAGCGATTGTTCCAGATTCTCTGAATCTTTTGATGATGTTATACACGGGTGATGATGATAACTTAAAAGTCTTTGCTATTTTACACTGGGTAACACCATTCTGGTATTGCTGCACTATCTTTCTGCGCAACAATGGTGGAATTGGTGATCCTCTTACCATCTTGGCTTCTGAGAGACACTCACACTCTGAGAAGCTCGTTTTATACCCAATCATGTTGTCAATTGACCTAATTAGTGTTAATTGGTCTTCCAGCTGTTCGTTATATGCTCAATTTCCATTTGCCAGCTACTTATTGCTACTTGTCCCAACTTTTTGGGGATTTGTTGACACTGAAATTTTGAATCAACATATTTTTCCTTTAAAATGTTACATTTACTCAGATTAAATTTTTGATCTGTCATCTATGTTATATTACGAATAAAATATTGACATTTGCCATCTCCACATAATTGCATTCAGTTTTTATTCACAATTTGTTTAGTGTCCGAACTTTTTTGGAATCCGGTTCGTATTTTTAAAGCTGATTTTTGGTTTATTTAATTTGAGCCGTGGGCGAGTTGACACTGTTTCAATGGGGGTGTGGGTGGGTAACAGAGGAGAAGCAGCAGAGAGGTGTGGAGGATTACATCTCTGCTTCCTGGACTGAACCCTAGGTTGTCAATAATTTGGGGGACAAACAAAATCAGCCATATTTCTAGAAAAAAGAGCGGCTCCGTCCAAAGTGGGATGGATGCCATCTCTCCGCATCAGACCAGGTTTTCCCCAGCAAGAACTCCAGGGTCTGTTTCTCAGCGGGTGTGTCACTGAGCGAGGAAAATCGATTAGAAACGTGAACGGGTCGGTGGTGAACTGGGGGCTTAGCCTTACGCTTGCTCCGGACCGTCACCCAGCCGGCCTGGGGCCCCGGCTGCTCAGGGTCTGCTGGAGGAGCGCTAATGGGAGCTAGCCTCTGTGGTTCCGCGCTGTCTAAGGGGACCTGGCTAACTACAGGTTTTTCTACAGCACGGAGCCGAGCTTCCACTTCAGACAGCCTCTCCTCCAAAGCTACCATAAGACTACATTTGTTACATGTATCATTACCACTAAATGAGGCAGAGGAGTAACTAAACATCTGACACACGGAGCAAGAGAAAACAGAGGAAGCAGGGAGAGAAGCAGCAGCCATGCTAAGCTAACGCTAGCAGGAGCTAGCAGAGCCAAATACACCAATAAAAACCGAGAAGTGTTGAAAGATAAGGTGTTTTAAGCACTATCCAACAGTAGAAAAACAACTGCACTGTGTGTGAACTAGAATGAAAAACTGCAAAAGACAGATAAATCCAGAAAACAAAGACGACTCGAGCAAACAATTCACTCGAGCTACCGACAGACAAACAGGAAATGACACAATACGTCTCACCACGAACGTGCAACGTCACACCACCACCACCAGGTTCACCAATTCAGTTTCCAAAACAATGTACTCCCTCTTGACTGCTGTACTTTAGCATCCAATGTCACTGTAAATAAACTTTGAAGTTGTAATTTTTACCAGGAACGTTCTTATATTTTTATATATTAAACTTGTCTCCAGAACTAATTTTTCATCTGGAAAATCATGCTTTTTATATCCCAGAGTGGCCTTTTTAATCAGCAAATTTGATTACTGAAATGTTGTTGTTTTTGAACTGAAATATTTTCTTAGAAATCTTCCATACGATCCATAATGCTGCAGTAAAGGTTCTGAGAGGATGAGCAAAAAGGGAGCACATCGCTAGTTTTAATGTCATTACACTGGCTGCTTGTCAGATTTAGAATTCAGTTTAAAATATTTTTTTTATCACTTATTAAACCAAAGATTTTTGATGATAAAGGACCACATAATATAGACTGTAATCAGTTTTAAAATTTTCTCTGAGCTGTTGCTATTTTAGCACTTTAATGAAGCAAATCATCCTTCCTACGGTGTCTGCAGGTGGGCCAGTGGTTAGAAGCCATGTTTGATCACCTGAAACACATTCCTCGTTACCTCATCCCCTGCTACTTTGATGCCATCTTGGTGTCAACCTACACCACAGCCCTGGATGCAACTTTCAAACTCATGTCAAGGTAAAATCTTTGTTTCTGTGTGCATTCATACTGAAGGCAAATAGTATAATCCGTGTTGTATATCAATAGTTTATAAAGCAAATATTAATTTCACTATGTATTGATTTGTGTTACACAAAGGCAAAGTGGCAATAGTGCTCTGCTTGTGTGTGTGTGTGCGTGCATGCGTGCGTGCGTGCGTGCGTGCTTGCGTGTGTGTGTGTGTTTTTGTATGTGTGTGTGTTGGGGGGGCTATTGTTTTCAACCTTATTTGTCTGTTAGCAAAATATCTCTTAAATCACAGGATGAGTTTTGGTGAAACTCTGAAAGTAGTCATTGGATAAACATCTACAGGGCGGTTGTGGCTGTGTGTGTGGTTCGAGCAATTCAATTAAAAAATTCAATTCAAAAATACTTTATTAATCCCAAAGGGAAATTATTTGTTGTTGTGACTCGTTATCCTCATTTCATTAAGAGATGTTTTAAATGCTGATGGCTGTAGCAGGAAGGATCTCTTGTAAAGGTCCATCCCACAATGGATCCTAAGAAACTGGCTGCAGATGCCGTCCGATCCATCCACTCAGACTTGGCTGGCCTCTCGGTTCCTCCGGGCTGCAGGACCGCCCGAATGCCGGGCAGAACTCCTCCCAGTGCGATGGCCACTCCTCCCAGCAGTCTGCCGAGCTCCTTATCACTGCGGACAGCCAACTGTAGGTGCCGAGGGACGATCCTGTCCTTCTGCTGTCATGAGCTGTGTTTCCTGCTAGTTCCAGGATCTCAGTGGTCAGGCACTCAAGCACAGCTGGCAGGTAGATGAGAATGCGTCCACAGAACATCCTTTTCAACTCATTTGAGATTTGGGGCTGTAGTTGAGATATTATTTGAGTGTTTGAGATGTTAATCAGCTGTTGTTGTTGTAGAAAACTGCCTTGTTGCCATGGTTACGCATCATAACAAATGTCCAAAACCAAAAAAGTTTCAGTAAAAATCCTTCCAGCTGCACAGCATCTGATACCAGAGGAAACAATCATCCAAAAAATGGGATTTATATCCAGAAAACCCGGAATAAAGTTTCCAAAAGCAAAATCTCAGAATGAAAGTAACAGAGCTGCTCCAGCATGCAGCCACCTGGAGCGGCGCAGTTCTAGAACAGATGATGTTCTAGAACCTCCAATGCAAGAGTTGGGGGTTCAATTCCACCAGCAGTCACATGCCGAAGTGTCCCTGGGCAAGACACTGAACCCTCATTGCCTCTGATGTGTGTCTCATTGGTGTATGAATGTAATATAGCACTGATTAGTCTTTGTAGAGATCTAGTAGAGTGCTGTATGAATGGGTAAACGAGGGCACATATTGTGTTGTAAAGAGCTTTGAGTATCTTGATAAGATAGAAAGGAGCTATATAAGTACAGTCCATTTACAAGTGATTTAACTTTTGGAGGAAACTCGCTCCAAGATGGCTGTCACAACTAAGCAAACTTAGAAAACCCAAGTCTAGCTATAACAGTTAATTTTACCGATATTGAGCTAAAATCTGTTGCAGTGTGATTTCCATTTTGGTGTCTGACTGTAAGAAGGGTCACTATCAAAATTGGGTTGTCACATCAAAATCCAAGATGGCCACTGTAAACTGGCCATGCCAATCATTTGACAAAACTACTTTCTTGTTTTTATGTTGCTTTAAACTTTAAAGCTATACTTTACTATACTATACTATACTATACTTTAAAGTTTAAAGTATAGTTTTCTCAAATGATTGGGGACGTTCAAAGGACAGAACCCCCAGACCCAAACTGAGCGGCGTGGTGTCTTCAGGTCATTGCAGCGAGGAATGTGGGAAACTAAACCTCTCCATAGACCCACAGCTGAACACCAGAGAACAGTTCTTCAGGACAACACTCCACCTACACCTCAAGAATGAGACACTCCTATGAGGACCAAAATATCAATGTTTGAAAGATCCTACCAACTTTCTTTTGTGATTGGGCGTGTGGTTTTAATCTAATCAGCCTGTGAGGACAGGTACAGAATGAAGCCTCTCATGCAGTTCTATGAAGCTTAGAACTCCACACACTCCAGACAGTTTTTGATTTGATAAAGCCTCTTGGGAAGTGAAACATCTTTCGTCACAGAATATAAGTTATTTGTTTTTCTTATACTTCTTTTGGATTGCTTGGGTTTTTACTTTAGAATCAGATTCTGTATCTTTTGAAGCTAGAAAACTTATTGTTGCTGCCCATTTTTTGTCCATTTCAGACTACGGAGACATGATTTGTATGTACGCATCCGTTCACTGGTAGCTTATGTTGGACTCTGTATATCACCGGGCTTTACCTTTTATAATCGAACTTGAAGCCTATCAATGTTCTGTATGCCTGGTATGGATGGGCTGCCTTATCCATCTACAGAATGTCTTTGGTATAATCTTATTTACAAGGTGATCTGGGGTTTACTGCCCCTTATCTCATGTCCTACATGTATATTGTTAACAAGCCCTAAAGAAATTATTATTTTCACTAGGATGATTTAATTTTATTAACTGTACCTAAGGTTTTTACAGGCTGTCAAAAGAATCATTCCAGTTTGCTGTTCAGACTGAAATCAACTGCAGAAAGACTTGAAATTGAAGGAGGTTGAACTCCGAATGGTTTTAAGGCCATTCTTGAAGATGTTGTAAAGGCAGCATCTGTTTGGAAACCTTTTAACAGATATTGATAGTTTTGGGTGTGTTATTCTCTTTCTTGTTTTCTTTTCTTATTTGTGTAGTGGACTAGGCCCATGTCAAAAACTAAGTCTAAGGTCAAAAATCTTGACCTTAAGAACCTTGTGGGACAGGAACTGTCATTTCATTGATTTGAGTCCAGAAGTGCAGGTTCACCCATCCTGAGACTTTCTCTCTTGAAGATTCAAGTGAAAAGAACACTCTCTGTTTTATTATCATTACTATTTTACAAATGTTGATAATCAAAGTGTCTTAGTTCAAACCATTTTAGATGTTGCAGTGAACTAATCAATTTTATTAACTGTGTAATGATTTTTCTCACGCAAAGTTAGAACTCATGTCAAAGCTGTTACAGAGTAATTATGCCTTTTCTGATTTCTGCTTTTGAATGAGCAAGTGTAAGTTGGTCCAAGGTTGGAGTCAAACGCAAAACAAGTTGTTGGCATGTTTTTAGAATCCTCTCAGACATAAATATAGAGGTTTTTGGCACCTGTTTCTGAAACGCGCCAAAACAAAACTCTCTCTGTCTGTGAGAACATTTCTGATCTTTTCATAACAATTCTTGCTGTCTTCTAACCTCCTACGTCACAAAACACACCCCGTCTGGTCGGTTCTGACCAATGGTAATACTCCCAAAAGTGAACCGGGAAACTGCTCTTTAAAATGTCAGTACTTCCTGGTTTACTCAGTTCAGTTCAGTTCTAGCTCTAGTTCTGGTTCTGGTAAGGTTCTGCTCGAGATCTGTAAACTACACAGTTCTGTTAGAAGTTCTGGGACAGTTCTGTTCAGTTCTGATGGAGACGGGATGATCCTGACATGACAACAGAGCTCTTCCGAGTTCCATGGGAATATAACACTTTCACTCGCCACTACTTCTGACGAGCTACAGCCATCCTAAGGAGACGCTGGACAGGTAGCGTTAACGGAACACCATATCTGCTGATTATCATCAGAAAGGTAATGGGTCAAGTTTCCTACCAAGCGTACCGAGGCGAGCTGGGTTTCTGATGGAGAGTGTCGGTTCTGGTGAACACTTACTTCCCTTCACACACCCTCTTACTCCCTCTTAACTTCTTTCATCTTTAAACTTTTCTCTCAAGTAGAAATTCTTCCAGATATTTTAGAAATGTCTGTGTAAAATGCTCACCCACATCCATGTGGGTAAAAGATCATAATTGTACAGTTTTCATAAATGTCTGTGGTGAAGCAACGGAAAAATCATGGCCGTATGATTTTTCCTGATTGATTGCTTATGTTGTTATTTTCATAATTTGCCAAATTAATGTAAATGTTTGATGTTAAATTTTGATTCTGTAAATAAATGACCGCATTCATTTTGATGGGTCAAACGTAAATGACGTCTCACGTTTGCATTTCCTTAAATTCAATGCACGTTTTATTCAGTCCAGAAAAATGAGGAATCCGCGTTAAATGATGAATATATCTGAGCATCTGTTCATCTACATTTGATTCTCTTATTCTAGAATTGCGCCGCTCAAGGTGGCTGCATGTTGGAGCAGCGCTGTTACTTTCATTTTGAGGTTTTGCTTTTGGAAGCTTTGGTTCCTCTTTTTCTGGATGTAAATCACATTTTTTTGGATGATTGTTTCCTCTGGTGTCGGATGCTGTGCAGCTGGAAAATTTTTTACTGAAACTTTTTTAGTTTTGGACATTTGTTATGACGTGTAACCATGGCAACAAGGCAGTTTTCTACAACCAACAGCAGCTGATTAACATCTCAAAAGCTCAAATAATATCTCAACTACAGCCCCAATTCTCAAATGAGTTGAAAAGGATATTCTGTGGACACATTCTCATCTACCTGCCAGCTGTGCTCGAGTGCCTGACCACAGAGATCCTGGAACTAGCAGGAAACATGGCTCATGACAGCAGAAGGACAGGATCGTCCCTCGGCACCTACAGTTGGCTGTCCGCAGCGACAAGGAGCTCGGCAGACTGCTGGGAGGAGTGACCATCTCTCTGGGAGGAGTTCTGCCTGGCATTTGGGCGGTCCTACAGCCCGGGGTAACCGAGAGGCCAGCCGAGTCTGGGTGGACGGATCGGACGGCATCTGCAGCCAGTTTCTTAGGATCCACTGTTGGATGGACCTTTACAAGAGATCCTTCCTGCCTACAGCCATCAGTATCTATAACATCTCTTAATGAAATGAGGATAACGAGTTATAACAACAAATAATTTCCCTCTGAGATTAAAATAGTATTTTTGAATTGAATTGAATTATTTTTACTATTTCTGATTATGTATTTGAATTGTGCTTTGATAACATTGAATATATGACTGGAAATGTTTGTGTAGTGTGCCATTCTTGACAAGGTCTCTTAAGATATTTTTAATCTCATTTAGGTCCACCTGGTTAAATAAATGGTTTAAATGAAAAATAAAACAGTCTTAGACTTTATTCTAAAACTCAAACATGAAAAGTGGTGGGTGACATGCATTCCTTCAAGGGATGCAGAGTGTTTATCAAAGTTCTGTTAATTTCAAATCAGATATCTGGTTTTTAAGGTTAGGTTTGTTGTTGAATGAGATTTACTGACAAACATTCCTCTCTGTTTTAAAACAGTTTCATCCAAAATGGTTCCTCTTTTGTCCAACACCTGGCGCTGGGCTCAGTCCAGATGTGTGCCATTGGACGCCTTCCTGTCCTCCCTTCCATTTCAGCGAGCATTAAGGACGTTCCTTACCGCATCAGTCCAGTCACTGGGCAGAAGGAGCAGTACTGTGTCTCACTGGCAGCAGGTACTCATGATGTACCTAAGGATGAAAATGAAACATACAGGTGCTGGTCATAAAATTAGAATAGCATGAAAATTTTGATTTATTTCAGTAATTCCATTCAAAAAGTGAAACTTATATTCATTCATTACACACAGACTGATGTATTTCCAATGTTTATTTCTTTTAATGTAGATGATTATAACTGACAACTAATAAAAACCCTAAATTCAGTATCTCAGAAAATTAGAATATTGTGAAAAGGTTCAATATTAAAGACACCTGGTGCCACACTCTAATCAGCTAATTAACTCAAAACACTTTCAAAGGCCTTTAAATGGTCTCTCAGTCTAGTTCTGTAGGCTCCACAATTATGGGGAAGACTGCTGACTTGACACTTGTCCAAAAGATGACCAATGACACTGGACAAGGAGGGCAAGACATTAAAGGTCATTGCTAAAGAGGCTGGCTGTTTCCAGAGCTCTGTGTCTAAGCACATTAATAGAGAGGCGAAGAGAAGGAAAAGATGTGGTAGGAAAAACTGTACAGGAAATGGGGATAACTGCACCCTGGAGAGGATTGTGAAACAAAACCCATTCCAAAATTTGGGAAATTTCCCAAAGAGTGGACTGCCAGTGCTCCAAGAACCACCACGCACAGACATATGCAAGACAAGGGTTTCAGCTGTCACATTCCTTGTGTCAAGCCAATCTTACCATACCATACCAATTTATTTATATAGCACTTTAAACAGTGACAAAGCACACCAAAGTGCTGTACAGGGACAAACAGAACAAGTACATAGCAACAGATTACATAACAGGACACCAAAAAGTAGAAACCAACAAAAATAATAATGGATAACAACAACAACCGCAACATGACCAACACAGTGTGATGCACAAAGACTCAGCACAGATCACACAGTGCTGAAAGCCAGGGAATAAAAGTGTGTTTTTAAGCGAGATTTAAAAACTGTGAGGGAGGGGGCCTGTCTAACGAGCAGAGGTAACTCATTCCAAAGTCTTGGGCCTGCTACAGAGAAGGCCCCGTCACCTCTGCGCTTGAGACGGGTTCCTGGGACTGTTAGGAGCAACTGGTCTGCTGATCTGAGAGAACGTGGTGGGACATACGGCTGGAGCAGATCAGTATGATAGGAGGGGGTAGAGCTGTTAAGTGATTTATAGACATACAAGAGTATTTTGAATTTGATTAGAAGGTGAACCGGAAGCCAGTGTAGGGAGGCCAAAACAGGTGTAATGTGCTCTCTTTTGCTTGTGCTGGTCAAAAACCGGGCTGCTGCATTTTGGACCAGTTGGAGTCTAGCTATGGAGGTCTGACTGATACCAAAAAGGAGTGAGTTGCAATAGTCGAGCCTGGATGTAATGAATGCATGAATTACTGTCTCCAGGTTATTTTTGGACAATATGGGCTTCAGCTTAGACAGTCGCCTCAGCTGGAAAAAGCAGGATTTAACAATCATATTTACATGATTGTTGAGTTTCAGAGAACGGTCAAGTATCACTCCTAGATTAGTGACTCTTTGTTTCACTAACGGTGACAGAACGGATAGGTCGATGCAGTGGTTGGTGATTGTGTCATTGGGAGGAAAAAGCATAACTTCAGATTTCTTCTCGTTGAAACTCAAGAAATTTAAAGCCATCCAATCTCTGATGTCAGCCAGGCAGTCCAGTAACGGTTGAATAGAGCGAGTACCGTTGAGTCTGAGGGGGATGTAGATTTGGCAGTCGTTGGCGTAGAAATGAAAAGGTATGTTATGTTTCCTGAAAATAACACCTAGTGGCAGCAGGTATAAAGAAAATAAAAGAGGGCCAAGGATGGACCCTTGCGGTACCCCCCATTTAAGCGCTGCCGAGGCTGAACTAAAATCTTTGATGGAGACACAAAAGGACCTGTCAGCAAGGTAAGATCTAAACCATTCGAGGGCTGACCCAGTGATGCCCACCCACTGCTCTAACCTCGCAATGAGGATCTCGTGGTCGATTGTATCAAAGGCAGATGTGAGGTCCAGTAAGAGAAGGAGCACAGAATCACCAGCGTCTGTGAATAGGAGAATGTCGTTAAAAACCTTGTGTAGAGCAGTTTCAGTGCTGTGGAGAGGTTTAAAGCCAGACTGGAATAGCTCTAAGATGGCATTATCCTCTAGAAAGCATTTCAGCTGGGACTCCACAATTTTTTCCAGTAGTTTAGCGACAAATTGGAGTCTGGAGACAGGCCGGAAGTTGGACATGACTGAGGGGTCAAGGCTAGGTTTTTTCAGGAGAGGTTGGACAGCAGCATGTTTAAAAGTTATTGGCACCACACCTGAGGCTAAGCTGCTGTTCACAATACCAAGAACAGGAGGGCCCAGAACAGGAAGAAGCTCCTTAAGGAGTCAAGGGGGGACAACATCAAAAGGGGAGCCAGATGGCTTCATGCCGCACATGACCTGCTCCAGGGAAGACAGAGAGATGGGCTCGAAGTGGTCAAGAACAGCAACACAATGAGATGGGATGGACGGATCATGAGCAGGTGGAGAAATGAGTGCCCGGGTGTTTGCAACTTTTTCAGAAAAGAAATGGAGGAAGCTTTCACACAGCTCAGTTGAGGCTTCTAGAGGTGAAGGTTCACTGAGGTGTAGAACTGAGTTCAGGGTGGAAAAAAGGGCTCGGGGGTTGTGGGAGTTTGAGGCAATTATCGCAGAAAAGAACTTCAATTTGGCGGCTTTAACTGCCTTCTGATAATGACGCCAACTCTCCTTTAGGATTTGAAAAGAAACCTGCAGCCTGTCTTTCCTCCACCTGCGTTCTGCTCTCCTACACTGCTGTCTAACGGCTTGAGTGACGTCATTAAGCCATGGTTCTGATAAAAGTTTTATTTTCCTGGTTTTAACGGGAGCAACACGGTCCAGAATATTGAAGCAAACCGAGTTAAGCTGAGAGTTTAGCTCCTCGGTGGAGAGAGACACTGAGAGCTGATTGATCCTCTTAGAGCTAAAAGCTTCAGTAAAACGTGCAGCAGTGAAACAGTTAATGGCGCGTGAAGTACGTGCAGAATCACATGTCTTAGCAGTAGGACAAGGCGGGATGATATCAAACAAGACAGGCATGTGGTCTGAGAGAACGTTGTCACCGATTACCAAATTACAAACAGAGACATCACGTGTAAAAATGAGATCCAGAGTGTGACCGTGTTGTTGGGTGGGACCATTTACTTGTTGAGTTAAATTAAATGAGTCCAACAAATCAAGGAAGTCCTTCACTAACGGTTTCTCCTGACAACAGACGTGAATATTAAAGTCACCAACGATAACAAAGTGATCATATCTTGGTGTGATGTAAGCCAGAAAATCAGATAATTCACTTATGAAGTCCTTGGAACGAGGGTGGCGATAAAAAATCGCGCACAGAACGGGAGGAGAATGTCCGAGTTCAAAAGCACTCAGCTCAAAACTGGAGCAGGGCATGAGGGTGGACAACTGTTTACAAGAAAAGTTTGATTTAAATACAGTTAAAATTCCACCACCCCGCCGGCCTGATGGCTGCGGGGCATTAAAACACAGACAGTCAGGAGGTAAAAGTTCCACCAAGGCGTTTGAGTCACCCAAAGGCAACCAGGATTCCGTGAGAAAAAGAAAATCTAGTCCCTTGTCTTTAAAAAAGTCATTTAGGATAAAAGTCTTGTTGGCAACAGACCTTGTGTTGATGAGGCACGTCCTGATCTGGTCCGACACAGAACCAGCCATGGTGGGGGTAGTGCGCGCCAACGGTTTCAGATTTTTAAAAACGGCACCTCCAGGACTGTCCAATCGCTGGGCCGGTAGACAACACCCATATCTTCCCTGGTCCGGGCACGT